ATATCAGCTTCATTCTGCTTTTTGAAACTCAATTAGCACATTATCTTGACAGATTTTTTTTCATTACAGCTTTAACATATTCAGTAACACACTCCAGAGCAAGGATACATCTCTCTCTAAAGTGGCTGTAAATTTTTAGGTTCACAGTTGAATTAATATAGTTATACAATATTGAACTCAATATAAACCCTGTAAGATATAAAATTGAAAGAGTTTTTACCCTTTAAAGAAGATCTCCATTTCAAGGCATGCTGTTTCCTACATTTTTAAATATTATTTTTTAATTTTTTTAGAAGAAGCATATCATTACAGCTTTAATAAGCTCAATAACAGTTTCCAGTGCAAAGACACAGCTCCTTCAAAAGTGTCTATAAAATTTCTACGTTCGCTGTTGAATCAATACAGTTTTACAATATTGAACTCATTATAAGCCCTGTAGGACATGAAATTGAATGAGTTTTTAACTCTCAAAAGAGATCTCCATTTCATTCTAAAATATACTGTTTCTTACAGAAAGCCTCATTGTTTTTGCTACTAACACTGAGATGTTGGTGCATGCGTCTTTAATCTGTATGTATCTGATTGTTACTAGTCATAATTGTTTGCACTCAGATCCTTGGCACCTTTGTATGTCTATAAAGTCATCAGTTAGATTTCAATGGTAATATTCATCACCTCTACTAATTAACATGACATAAACTTTTATGCTTCCTCCTCAAATATAATACATTATTTTTAATTTGTTGGGTTTTTCTCTGTGTGTGTATATCACACAGAATATCCCAAACCATCTTATTCAACTATACACCCACTTCCCATATGGCACCCTCCCATAGCCTCCCTCCCTCCACTAGAGCCCTTATACTCTGATATCCCTGCTTTGTCCACTGTGTTGTCAGCACCCCCAGCCATTCCCCACTTTTTATAGATGTAGAATACACAGACTCACACACACACACACACACACACACACCCCTTATTCTTTGACTAAATTCTTGTAAGTTTTTCAGTTGTGTCCAATTTTTTCCCAATATTAAAAAAAATTTTTAATATTTTATTTATTATTTTATTTTGTGTTGTAAGTGTAATGACTGCATGTATGTAACTGCATCTGTGTCATGCAATGCCCATGGAGGTCAGAAGAGGGTGTCGGAACTGGAGTTAGGGATGGTTGTCAACCGCCATGTGAGTGCTGGGAGTTGAACCCAGGTCCTCTGCAAGAGCACTCAATGCTCTTAACTGCTGAGCCATCTTTCCAGCCCCTCTCAATACTTTTTATGAAATACCATTAATCTTTATCCTTAAAAATTATTTTACTTTTTATGTCAGAAAAATAAATCCTGTTACCTCTCTTAGACAATTATGAGGGATATATGAATCCCTATAAATGAAACATCTTGAGAGTGGTATTGGGAGCCATGTGACTGCCGAACATTAACTCAAGATATACCTATGTGCCATTAACTAACTGGGTCATGCTGAAGCATATTGCTAATATATTACAAAAGTGGAAACAAAATAAGACTCAAAATAAATCATGGATATGGTGAGGCATTTTTCTAAGAAAATGCAAGCATTTAGCAACAACATCGTAATGGAAGCTTTTCTATTCAATCTATTATCAAGTTTCACTTCTTTTCAGTTTCATCACTTGTTTCTCATGCATTTTTATGTCCTGGTTGCACTTATAAATATGATCATTATATTATCATTTGTAAAGAAGGCTTCACAGTCTTCTGCCACATAACTCTGGAATGCATATTACCAGCAGACACGTTTACCCAATATGCCACACTGACGGATATTCCTTTAGAATCTGTATTGTTGTTCCTATCAAATCTAAACAGGTAGCATGTGTTCAAGATCCCTCATAATCCACATAAATCCCACCTAATGTACTTTTCTATTTATTATTTTTATTATATGTGTATGAATGTTATGCCTATATGTAGGTCAGTGTACTCGTGTTGTGCAATGCCCACAGAGGACAGAAGAGGCTGTCAGATCCCCTGGAACTGGAATTACAGACAGTTGTTAGCTGCCATGTGGGTGCTGGGATTCAAGCCTGGGTCTTCTGCAAAAGCAGTCAGTGTTCTTAACCACTGAGCCATCTCTCCAGCCCCAGTCTAATGTATTTTAATGCTTCTAGACATAGTGATCTTTTTGATTAATTTTACTTTAATTCAGTAAATATTTGTTAAATATTGCAATCCTCATCATCCTAATTTCTGCCTCTATCTTTGCAATGCTAATCCTCCAGTTTAGGAAGCTAAAAGTAATGATGTTTATTAGTAAAGGTTTAACCTTCAAATGCAGTGGTCTGTTTCATTTTATTGTGTATTTAACTCTTGGAACCATGTGCACACACTTTTTTTCTATTTCTCTCAAGTTATTGTAACATTTTTCTACTACACGAGTTTATGTAGTCTCCTTAATGACCTTAAATTATATCATGAATATGAATTTACCGATATTTGCTGATAATATTTATATTATTTTAACTCAGTGTAAACGCCAGTGTCTAGGCCACTTCAGGAAATATTAGTACTGTACTGTGAGAAAGATAAAAAAACAATGACCTTGAGTCAGGATGTTTGACACTGGTAAAAGAATTGAAATTTCATTTAAATCTTAAAAATCACCAGGAATATCAATCCAAAAAAATTTCAAAGTGTTATGTTTCTAAAATATATACTTATTTATTAACTTTTTAAATTTATAATTCAAAAATTATATGTATAGTCAAGAGAAGAATTTAAATAATTTATAGTGCTGTGCAGTTTAATGAATGTAAGTGGTTTGTGTACTGACAAAATCAGTTGCACCTTTTGAAGAGCCTTATTTTTCTTTTTAATTTTTCTTTATATTTTTATTTTATGTGTATGGTGTCCAGCAATGCCCAAGGAGGTCAGAAAAGGCTGTCGGATCCCCTGGGACTGGAGTTACAGCCAGTTGTTAGCTGTCATGTGGGTGCTGGGATTCAACCCGGGTCTTCTGCAAGAACAACCAGTGTTCTTAACCACTGAGCCATCTCTCCAGCCCCGAGAGCCTTATTTTTATGAGTTATATATGGCGCTGGAGAGATGGCTCAAGAGGTTAAGAGCACTGACTGCTCTTGCAGAGGACCCGGGTTTGATTCCCAGCACCCACATGGCGGCTACGAACCACCCTTAACTCCAGGTCCAGGGGAATCTGAAGCCCTCTTCTGACCTCCGTGGCAGTGAACGACATGGGTGCACTCACATACATGCAGGCAATATACTCATACTCATAAAATAAAAATACTAAATAAAATATATTAAAAGAGTTATATACTTTTCCCTTTGGTTAAATATGGTCACTGTGGCCATCTTCTTCAGCATCCTTTGATTTAAATGAGGAAATGGGCACGTGGTCGTTTCAGATCCCATCGAGCATTCCTAATTTCTGATCCTTGTTCTTTACTGAGAACATAAGCCACTGTCCAGAACAGCTTGTGTTATGTTGATTCTGCAGCAATACTGGGGCATTGGTCAGGCATATACAACGTTTCACACACTTAGAGAGGAAAGCAGAGGCCCTGGGAAGCTGCCTGACTTCCTAGGCCTGACAGACTTGTTGAGGATGTGTTATCTAGTGTTCTGGGTCCTGATTTATCTGTCAGGCAAGAAAGACAGTCATTTGTTCTGCCTTCGGTGTGACAGAATCATCTACTGGTTCAGTGACTTCAGTTACTTTCTGCAAACAAAACCTTTATGTATCCTTGAAATGAGTTTTTGCTCATTTCCAATAATTAAAATGAATTTATATATACTGATTAAAGAACACCATTTTAGATGGTAATGTTTATTTTAAGATGTGGATAGCTTCAATTCCTTTAATGAGAGCACTGTCTCTAGGAGCCCTGTCCTGAGCTCATCCCACTCCTTCTTCTTGGTCTCGGGAAGCCTTGATCCCTGGAACCTGCTGTCTCTTTCTAGGAAAATGCAAGGTTGCAATGGCAGGGATGTTTTTCTTCCTGCCTGTTGTATTGGAAGTTGTTGATAAATGTCTAGTTCACCTATGTGTGCCATCAAATAAGTGATTTTCTTTTTCTTTAACCATGATTTCACTCTCAGGATTTCTGGGCATCTGGGTTTTTTGTTTTTTGTTTTTTTGTTTTTTTGTTTTTGATTTTTTTTTCCATCAGTGAACCTAGATCCACTCAATTTTAGAGCCCTCTGTTTTAGGGTATTTCTTTCTTAGCCATATTGACTGAGTATTTGGTTTGTTTGTTTTTCTTTTGCTGATTCTGTCTGCTAAGCTAATTTTAGGCACACACATATATACAAGTTGCTAGTCTTCATTTCCTTTTATAACATTCAGTTCTTCATCTTTTTTCCTTTCTTAGATATACCTTGGGTTTAAAGATCTTTATTTTAAATATAAATTCTACAGTCACCTTTCTTTATATGTTTTCCTAGAAAAATTTCAATTTTCTTCCTGGGACTGGAAAGATGACTCAGTGGTTAAGAACACTGACTGCTCTAGTAGAGGACCTGCATTCAGGTTCCAGCACCTATATAGCAGCTAACAACTCCAGGTTCAGGGGATCAGGTGTCCTCTGCTCGCCCCTGTGAGCATTGTATGCATATGAAGCACTTACATGAATACCGGTGAAACACTAGTGCACATAAAATTAAAAATTAATCAATTAACGATAAAAACTTCCCTACTGTCTTCTCCTATAAACAACTGTGCAGGCTGAGATTTGAATTTGCATTAAATTACAAATATGCTCAAGAATTAGATTCCCATTAATTTAAAATAAATATGAAGATTGTTGTGTGTTATAAATATGGACATATTCTACTTTTTAATTTTTATTATCTTCTGTTTTAGAGATGACACAAATATTTATGTATCTATATATGACATGTTTAATTGTTGTCTATATTTTAAAAGTTCTACCAAAACTAAGCAGTTTTTTAATCTTTCTCTATTAATTGTCTAAAATTGTCTCATATGCTTATCTTTAACAGGTCATTGCTATAGTGATGGATATATTTACTGATGTGGACATTTTCAAAGAAATAGTGGAGGCATCAACTCGAGGAATATCCGTATACATTTTACTTGATGACTTCAATTTTAATCATTTTCTAAGTATGACTGAAAAGCAGGGTTGTCAAATTCAACGTCTCAGGGTAAGAATTGATTTTTCACAAATACTTTTGTGTGCTATTTTCATCCTAGTCAAGTTTGAGTCATGCTGGATAGACTAGTCCAAAGTTAAAAAACAAAAGAAAGGCAGAGAATTTATATTTTTAGGATTCCATAGTGACCAGAAGCCTTGTTCATTCTGCAATGGGGATCCTCAGAGGGACGACTGTGTGCTATGCTTAGAGAGTTTGGCCTCCAGACCTAGTTACTGACAGCGTCCTATGTAAATGGAAAATACAATCTCCTGTTTAAGCTATGTTAAATATATGTTTGAAATAGCTATTTTTCTAAACTGTTTAGGTAGATTTTTACAGTTTTCTTTTCATGAATTTTTATGTATTTTGAAAGTTTGTTTCAAATAAATCAGTTTAGTATGAATGGCTTATGTTGGTATCTACTTTTGAAAATGTCTCCTTTGTTGATGTAACTTTTACTTTATATTTACATGTAATTGTAGAACATCCGTGTGCGGACAGTAAAAGGCCAAGATTATCTTTCAAAAACAGGAGCAAAATTCCATGGAAAAATGGAGCAAAAATTTTTGTTAGTTGACTGTCAGAAAGTGATGTATGGTTCTTACAGGTAAGAGCTTTTTTTTCCTCTCAACATTTTAAACCAATTAAATAAAGTATTCTCTTTAGATTGTAGTAGAATCAATTTAGCTGTGTCTAAAATAATTAGAAAGAAGGAGGTGGAGAGATGGCTCAGGAGTTCAAAGGGCATACTGCTCTTCTAGAGGACCCAAGTTTGGTTCCCTACCCATGTCAAGATCAACTGCCTATAACTCCAGCTCCAGGGAATCTGATGCCCTCTGCTGACCTCCAAGGGCACCAGTACACATGTACACAAACCAACTCATATACACATCATTAAACATAAAAGATAAATCTTTTTTAAAATTCTTAAAAATAAACAAGAAGCTCTGGCATAAAAAACTTAGAGTATTAGTGTTTACCAACTTCTTCATGTTACTTTCTAGTCCTGTGACCTTGGCCAATCCAATAACTTCTTTGAGTTTCAGATTCTCCATCTAAAGTGGTTAGCATCTAAAGCTCCTTATAACTCTATAATACTAAAAGTGTATTGTCACCTAAAAAACACTATGTAGTATGAATTTTAAAACAACTGCATAAGCCAGTGGTGGCGGTTTGTGCTTGCAGCCCCAGCATTCAGGATGCAGATGCAGAGGCAGAAGGACGGCCAAAAGTTTAAGACCTGCCTGGTCTACATAGTGAGTTGCAGTCCAGGTAGGGTTACATGGCGAGGTACTGTCTCATAAATCAAAACATGGGCCAGAGAGATGGCTTCCTTAGTAAAGGCACTTTCTGCCAAGCCTGGTGACCTGAATTTAATCCTTGGTACCCACATGGACCACAATTGTCTTCTGATATTAACATGCATGCTGTGGCATACACCACACACACACACACACACACACGCACACACACACACACACAAATAAATGGAATTAAAAATATGTTAAAGCATCAGACATTCGTTATCCCCCCAAAACAAAACAGAACAAAAATTATTGGATTATACAAGATGTTTAGCACTTTGAAGAGTCTGTCAGTTGATTTTTCTTATTGTTGAATTATTCAGTATCTGAGGAAACCAGAATTGCAATCCAGTCTGGGTCAGGCTGATCCAGAGTGTAATCCTTTATAAAGTAATCTTTTATAAATCTCTGGTGTCAGTCCTGAGCAAGAAACATAGTGAATCTATATAAACATGCAAATAAAGACTCCAGAGTGCTTATTTAGCCCAGTCAGGTCTCTGCAGACTCATGACAGAGGACACAGAGACAACTGTAGGGAACTTGTCATTATAAACACGCCGGTCTCAGCCAGTATGTTTGCTAGCTTTAGGTCCTTTAGGAGGTGAGACCTTGAAGTGGATGGCCTTGAGTGAGTGGCTTAAATTCCTTGCCCTTTCCTCTGTTAACTATAAACTCTGGGTGATCATTGAAGCCTGCTGCATGTTCCTGTCCTGAGATGGCAAGTCCCAAACTCCTAGATATTTTAGGACATTCTTTTCATTGTTATTTTCTGCTTCCATTTTCTGTGCTCAAGAATTCTTTTTTCCCCCTTTTTTTAAATGCTGTTTGGAGTTCTATACAAAAACTTGTTAAGACCAGAAATTACAACTAGTGCTTGAAATTAATTGCACTTTCTGTTTTTACTACTTAACTTCATGTTTAGCATTACTTTCAATACTGAATTCACCTCTGTTTTTATACCCACTAGGCATTGATAAGTGATAAATGCTGTGGTGACTGGAACTGAGCTACGTAGACTGATGTAGGTTAAAACAGAGAGCAATAACTTAAAGCAAACTAAACCAAATTGAGAAACCTCATCATCCAGTCATATCAGGCTAGACCTGGAGAATAGTGTGGACTTGCTGAGGAGAGCAATTACAAGTCATCTAAATTCTTTTCTAAAGACTCCATTCTCTTTGTAATTTCAAGTTCATTTTATTTACTTTTTAAAGATTATTTTCTAAATTAATTAATATTTTATGTATACAAGTGTTTTGGCTGCATGTATGTTGTGTTTCTATGTCCTGCAATGCTTGGGGAGGCCAGAAGAGTGTGCTGGGGTCCCTGGAACTGCAGGTACTGATGATGAGCCATCTCTCCAGAGTCTCAAGTTCATTTTAAATATTCTTCTTTTAAAAACTGGTGATTGTCAGTCATCACTTTTATTTTCACTTTAAAATTTTTCTTTGTATATTCATTATACAAAGTACTGTTACATTGGACATTTACATATACATATATGTATTACACTGAATGTTTCCCTTTACTCCATTCCTCCTTTTCCTCAACCCTTCCCATTCTTGTACATCTCCTTACCTGATTTTCTCTTTTAAAATTTATTTTTATTTTGTATTCTTGCTTATATATGTATGTCTGTGTTAGTGTATCCCTATCTGAGTACAGTGCCTGAGGTGGACAGAAGACAACAGGTCCCCTGGAAATTGAGTTACTGGTGGTTGTGAACTGCCAAACATGGGTGCTAGGAACTGAACTCAGGTCCTCTGAAAGAGCCGTGAGAACTAAACTGCTAAGCCATTTCTCCAGTTCTTCTTGACTGATTTTCAGATTGTTAAAAATATTTTAGCTGGGCCTTTAATCCCAGCACTTGGGAGGCAGAGGCAGGGGGATCTCTCTGAGTTTTGAGGCCAGCCTGGTCTCCATAGCGAATCCAGGCTAGCTGTGGCTACAGGGAGACCCTGTCTCAAAAAAATTAAAAAAAAGAAAAAAAAAAGAAAAAAACAATTCTAGTAGATGCTTCTGGGAAATTACTCAGCTCATACAGAGTCAATCAGACAAAAACCCAGCATAGAACTGGAGAAATGGTCAGGAGGTCCGCACCTTAGCCAAGAAACTATTGACAGTTGACAGCTGCTGGATGAGGAAGACTTGAATTTTTTTAAGGGAGTGACTCTAGATAGCTGCCTAGGCCGGCTGGGGACACAAACTTGACTAGATAGGCCTTAAAATACGACAGAGTATGAATCCAGCATGGGGGGGCGGTATAGAGAGTGCAGGTAGTGGAAGGGATCTAAATATTATTAAGGTGTATTATATGAAGTGCACAAAAATTCAATAAAAATATACATTTAAAATAGTCTAGTACGGTCTTGTATAATAGTTATGAACCACTTTGTTTAAAGTATGTTTCCTTCTGTGTAGAAAAGCTTGAGTTCTTCACACCATAGTTTTGCTGCCTTTTTCCTTATCGGCACCATCATGTTCCTGCTTTTTCCCCTCCCTATTCTCTTCCTCGTCTCTTTTTTCTTCTCTCATTTTTTTGTCTTTTGAGACAGAATGTCATTTTGTAGCTCAAGGTGGCTATAAATCAGCCTAAGGCCCAGGTCGGCCTTAAATCCCATATTACCCGGATCACGTCTCAGACGGTGGCATGACAGCAGTGTAGGAGCGTACCCAGCTGAAACATCTTTAATGACATTCTTTTCCGTGGGTGACCCTGAGTTCTGAAGTCTCATCTTTTGTAAAGAGGCCTGCAGTATAATCACCACAGTCACACATTTGCAACACTCACACTAGTGTGGTGTTTCAGGAAACCACAGCATGATACTAACACTGATGAAATGAAACAGATATTTTAGTCCATGTGCATTTAGTAATGTCTTGCACTTAGTAATCCCACTTGAAATTATTAGAATTCTGAAGGCACTTAGTAAAGCATTCTGCATAAATTTTAATTGACAAAGACTTTTTTCATTCTTTGTTATAGACAGGGCCTCAAATTTGAGCTCTTACTATCTTTGTCTCCTGAATGCTGGAATTGCAGATGTGATTCACGGAGCCTCACTGAAAAAATTTGAAGCTTCTATTTTATTATTTGATTACTATGTTATAATTTTTGAATATTATGACTTTGGTAAAGGTTACTTTACAACACTTTCACTAGATTGTCTCTCCAGGGCCTTTTTCTTTGAGTCAGAGTCTCACTGGCTTGCTTGGTACACACTATATAGACCAAACTCATGGAGCTCTGCCTCAAACTCACAGAGAGACATCTGTCTTGTTCTGTGTCCAGAGTGCTGGGATTAAAGACGCGCACCACCACACCCAAACTTCTGGTGCCATTTTTAATCAGACATGAATAGTATCACACTTCGTGATACAAGCAATGTACTGTTACTACCTACATCCCATCCCATCCCGTCAACTTTGTAGTTTCACCCCCTGCCAGGAACCCGGCTTCTTAAGTCACTTTTGATTATACGAATTCATAACTACACTTGACAGTTCATGACTATGATCTTGTGTGTTCAAGGAGAATGAGAGTGTTTTTTAACCAAGTAAGTATCTTTACATATATAAAACATTAAATAACATTAAAGATGTATAGTACAAAAGTGTAGATTTGTTTTCCATCTTTAGTCGCCCCTGGTCCTGACCTCCTAATGCAGTTACTCGTGTCTCAGAGCTTCCTCTTCTGACACAGATCCCATTATCCTAAATTATGTAATTGCACTGTTTTTCCCAATTTGTGGATTCTGCCATTAGCTCTTGGCATTTCATTATGGTAACTGAGGCATGTTTCTACCCATCCATGTTCACTTTCCTTTCAGGTCCCCATTCTTCCCACGCAGTTTTATCATGCGTTTCTACTAAATGAGAAGTCGAGGTTTACGTTATTGAATCTGGGTCAAAACTGAATGTTAGTGAACAGCTGATTTATGGTGTGTTGTATTTATCCATCACAAAGTTAATAGCCATTTTATTTTATTTTTATTAATTTTAGTTGAATTTTTGTGAATTTCATACATTTTAATCATATTTAAATCCCTCCCCCGTATCTGCACCTCCTTTCTAACACCCACCGAATTTCTGTACTCATATATTTGTGTGTGTGTGTGCATATGTTTGAGTGGGGGTGCATATGTGGTAGCAGGTATATATGCACAGGTATGCATGTGCATGTGGGTGCCAAAGGTCAACCTTGAGTATCATTCTTCATGTGCCTTCCAAGGTTGTTTTTTGTTTTGTTTTGAGACAGGTTCTGTCACAGGCATGGAACTCACTCATCATGCAGGCTACACTGGGACCAGTGAACCCCAGGGATCTGCCAGTCTCTGCACCTCAGTGCTGGAATTTACAAGTGCATACCATCTGGCCCAGCTTTAAGTTTTCTTTGTTTGCTTTCAGTCACTGCTTTTATTTTCTGTTTATTGCTGTTCTTTTACAGTTGACAACACAGATTTTGCAACACATTTTCAAATCCTCAGTTACTGACAACAATGTGTTTGTTATGCGCAGACCAGATTACCAGGTCCTTAAGCCCGGCACACCCTTAGGCCCATATTTTTGGTGGTTTGATTCAGTTTCTTAAATTCCATTTTTCTTTCTGTTTCCAGTTTTCTTCCCTTTTCCTAAATCCAGCAATTTGAAATTCTGAGTTCCTTATTTATAGCCCAGCTTGAGATGGAATTTTCTAAATTTCTTTAATGTGCTATTAATTTTATCCACTATAATCAGGAAAATACACTGGTGATTTAAATCTTCCTTTCCCTTTTAAGATTAATTATTGTTTTAAGGATGATGTATTCTGGAAAAATGTTTTTTATATATCAAGAAGAATGTATATCCTGCTTTGCTGAAACTTCTGAATGTTTCTGTTAAGCCTTGTTGTTCAATGGTATTTTTCAACTTTGTCTATTTATTAATCCATTTTGAAAGTAGGTACGGATATTGTTTTCATTGATTTCTTTTCAATTTTCACATAGTTTTCTTAATATACTTAGAGACTTGCAGGTCTGGTGCATAAATAGTCACAATTATTATGAATAGCTATACTTATTCATTTAACTGTGAATAACTGTTATTGTGAATTTCACATACTTGATCTTGCTAACAAACCCTTTTAATACTACATGATGCGGACCATCTTTCATAGCTTTTAAACTTAAAGTCTGTTTTCTTTGATCTCCTGACATTTTCCGTTATTGTAGGTATTCAAGTTTTCCTGTCCTTTTCTTTCATCTTGTGTCTGTCCTTAGATTCAAATTGAGTCTTTTGATGGCAGTGTATACATGGATCTGGAGTTTTTAAATATCTATTTCATTGTCATTTTTTTAAATTGTGGGGAGAGGTATGTGTACATAAATGCAGGGTGCCCAGAGGCCAGAGGTGTTGGATCCCTCTGGAACTGTCATTGCAAGTGGCTATGATAGCTGGTGTGGGTGCTGGGAAAAAAAATCTATAAATTTTATACTAGGTTCAAATGGTCCATGATTATTGGCACTCAAAGAAACTTGCTCTAGCACTTCACGATTGGAATTCTTCCTTTTAAAAATGAATTTTTTCTCCTTTGCTGTGTTTTTAGCAGTATGAGGGAAGAGAAAGAACCAGCACGTGTAATAACAGATTTAGGTAAAACTTTTACACTTTCTGACAACCTAAGTAACTTTGGCTTTTTAATTTTGACTTTGAAAATAATAATTCACTGGACTGGAGAGATGCTCAGCAGTTACAAGTACTAGCTGCCCTTGCAGAGGACCCAAGTTCAGTTCCCAGCACCTACACTGGCTACCGGCCATCTGTAGCCTCAGTTCCAGGGTGATCTGATGCCCTCTTGTGGCCTATATGGCCATTGTATAACATGGGTGCACTTAAATGCATGTAGGCAAAACACTCATATATATAAAAAAAAAAGAATAAAAATAAATTTTAAAAACATAAAGGAAATAATAATTTACTTAGTGATTTTTATTTCAAACAAATATTTTAAGTGTCTTCGACGTACCATATTGCAAAGAGGTGTCCGAGTTCTCTGAGATAAGTTTTATTTAAAAAAAATGAGATGATGATTCACAAAGGGGAAATGCACTATGAAGCTTCAGTTAAGAAGAGATATTGAAAGAATGGGGGGGTCTGATAATTCATGATTTGACCTGTACTTTCAACGCAGTGGCCACAAATCTAAAAGGAAGTGAGTCAGGAACTACTAAAGGGAGAAAAATAATATGCAGGAAACAGCAGCTCCGAAGATGTGGGAGCAGAAAGTGTGGTAGAGCATCTCAGGCAAGTGGTAAGCTACCATACAGGACCAGGAAAAGAAGCTGGGCATGGTGGTGCATGCTTGTTATCCAGTATGCTAGAGGCTGGGCCAGAGAATCACAAGGCCAGCCTGGGCTGCATAATCAGTGCTTGGCCAGTCTGTTATACAAATAAGACTATCAAAGCAGAGGGGAAAACACACACGCACGCATGCACGCGCGCGCGCACACACACACACACACACGCACGCAGCAGAACACAGAGGCAGACTGTGAGGGTGTTCTCAGGCTGAGTAAGAAGTTTGCATTTTATTTTAAATAAAATAGAAAGTTCTATGTGTAAGATGCACTTTGTATTTTGAAAAGATGACTTCTGTGCCATGTCATTTGACAAGCAAATGGAGAAGCTAAACATCAAATGAGCTTGTGACTCTTTCATAAGGGGAACAGGAGATTAGGAGAGAATCATGAGAGGTTTGGGAATCAGTGTTAGAACAATCTGTTTATTCCTTTTGCTTCTGGAATGAAAACATTCACAGGTGACGTCTTGCTTTGTGTGGATCACTGAAAAGATGACTGAAACAGTGCTTCAGTAAGTGAGACTGAGATGGAAACAGGTTTTAGAAGTAGATTGTATGAATCACTTGTGGTAACAGAGGTCACAGGGGTCCAGCCCCAGATCTGGAAGTTCCTTGTAGCGCCATTCGAATTCACCTTTGAGTACCTTCTGCTGAATATCATACTGTTAGCTGCCATTTTCTTACAGCATTGTCAAGGAAACTTTTGCCAGTTGTCCCATAGCCTCAGTTTCCCACACTCAACACTGGGAGGTTGTTTTTATCCCACAACCTCCCGGACATCGTCTATAACATGAAGTTCCGAGTGTTTTTCTTGCTACTGACTCTTTATTTTGCTCACTGTTGCACTTCCGCTAGAGCCCAGAGCCCTTATTCGTGTTCTTCCTAGTAAATTCAATCCCTGCTATTTCCAGTGTGTGCTACAGACAGCTACCAGAAAGGCAGTTCCCCAAACATTTGTCTTACAATTTATCTAAATTTGGAAACAAATCCTAATCAAACTTCCTGCTTCACTTTCGAACTTACCTCCACTTGTTCCCAACTTGCTCATGTAGCTTCTTTATGCCAGATAAATATACTCTTGTGTTTCTTAATTACTGCTTCCTCTCCTTTCCCATGGTTTCTTCCACACAGTGTTTCTTCTTACTTCTTTTCTCTATGAATTTCTACACATTTCTGTCAACATTTTGCAAAACTCCCACTTTCTCTAGGGATTTCTTTCTACGTACCTATTAATTTAACATTTATTCTGTTACCTGGTGGCTCAAATATAGCATATCCATAGCTTCAGGTTGGTTGAAAATGTCTTTAGTTGTGGACATTTAAATCATTTCTCTTTAGTCATCATGCTATTATCACTAAGGAAAAGAACAAACAAAAACACTAAAAAACAAAAGAAAACAAAACACAAACCACAAAGGCGGCTGTGAGGGCATTCTCTTGGGCCAGGTAAAAAATTTGCATTTTAGTTTCATTATTTTGCTTCCTGTTTCAAAGTTCTCTATGTAGGACCCACTTTATATGTTCCTTACTTAGGTCATCCACATGCTCACCTAAGGAGTACCTGATAAGTATTCTTCTCTTACCATGGATTCATTACGCATAGCCCAGAAAGAAGCACATCAGTATAGCGAGATGCCCAAAACTGCACAGTGTCAATTATGGTGTTTTGTGTATTTTCAGTTTTACTCTGCACATCTAAAATGTTTATATTTGTACTTGTTTTCCCCATGTTTACTATGTTCATTCAGAGTTTTGAGTGTCTATCTTATGGTTCTTTTGCATTAAACCCCAGTATGTCACATACATTTGATGGAGAGGACATTAACAATTTGTTTTTTCCAGATCAGCAACATTTTGTTATTCCATGCAGGCTTTCAGAAATTAAATTAAAAAAACAGATATGAAATTTCAAGTGTGCTCTCACCTCAAAACTGCACAGGGAAGGAATTGAAAATTCCAAAAAGTATTGTAAAATCACTATAAACTTTAATCTCATGGAAGTTATATCCTATATTAAAAGATCCTGATTGGAATTTTGAATAACTTGATTTATGAGGAACATTATAATCCTGTGTAGACCAAGTTGAGTGAAGTCTGTCCAGTAGTGACCAAGGCAGCTGCCCACAGCGTCCTATTTATAGCTATCACATCCTAAACACCATTGAGTAGCCGTAGAGATAACAGGCTGCTGGGATTGAGATGCACACAGACTTTCCATGCTCTGTGACATGTCAGGGTACTGTAACTATTAGGCTCCCCATGTCTTCATTTTGGACACAAGGAAAGGGGCCAGAATCATGTGGCAACCACTTTGAAGAGGACAGCCAAGTCGTTCAGGTTTTGCTCCAATACTGGCTTTCCTATACCCTGCTTGAATGGAATATTTGAGTCTTAATGTCATTTTTTAAAAATCCATAACACCTTTGTAGGCATAAATACAGAATATACAACAGTCTTCTCCCTGACCTTCTGAAAAGTTGTGTCAGGAATCATGAATGGATTTCAAACCAAAGGCTGATTTATCTCATTATATAAGAAGATTCATGTACTGCTGTAAGCATGTGATGGTTACGTGTTCTAAATGACAGTAGCCAACAAAAACAAGTACAGTTTTTCACTGTTCGATGACATGTTTCATACAGCTATATTTGATTAATCTCTTACCAAAATTAAATTTTTCTTTTCTTTCTTTTTTCTTTTTAGCTACATGTGGTCATTTGAGAAAGCCCATCTCAGCATGGTTCAGATAATCACAGGACAACTTGTGGAGTCATTTGATGAAGAATTTAGAACTCTCTATGCCAGATCCTGTGTCCCCAGTTCCTTTGCTCAGGATGAGTCAGCAAGGGTGAAGCCAGACAAAGCCCTCTGGGAGAATGGCATTTACCCGAGATCTGTTGCTTCATTAGCTTCTGTTTCCAGCCAAAGAAACCTTTTTGGTAGACAAGACAAAATCCATAAGCTAGATTCCAGCTACTTCAAAAGCAGAGGGATATATACCTTAAACGAACACGACAGACACAGCATGAGAAATCATGGGTACAAGCCTCATTTTTTTCCAAATTTTAATGGTCCAAATCCAATCCGTCAGTTTCAACCCAGTCAGGTAAATGAAAACTGGAAGAGGCATAGTTATGCTGGGGAGCCATCAGAAACAACACCATACTTACTGCTCAACAGAGCTCTGAATCGAACCAATAACACTCCTGGACACTGGAGAAGGCCTTCAGATAGTCTCAGTGTGACATCCTCATCACGGGGAGGCCACTCAAACCGGCAAAACACACCTGCACAGAGTTTTGCTGACCGGCTTGCCCAGAGAAAAATAAATCTCGCAGATAGGAATTCCAATGTGAGGAGGTCTTTTAATGGGACAGATAATCATATTCGCTTTTTGCAACAACGGATGCCAACCCTTGAGCACACTACAAAGTCATTCCTGCGAAACTGGAGAATTGAATCCTACTTAAACGATAATTCAGAAGCCCCACCTGACTCAAATGGCTCCACTCTAGGTGACCGATTTGAGGGCTACAATAATCCTGAGACCATGAAAGCCAACACACTCTACACTCATACTCGGCTACGGTCCTCTTTTGTGTTTAAACCAACTTTACCTGAACAACAAGAAGTTAACAGCTGTACAACTGGCTCCTCAAATTCCACCATCATTGGTTCTCAGGGGAGTGATACACCTAAAGAGATCCCAGATACCCCCACAAATGTACAGCATTTGGCAGAAAAACCCTTGTCTGAATCAGTCTCCAAGCTCCCTACAGAGTCAGAAGTATCAAAAATGCACACCTTGCAGATTCCTGAAAAACAATCAGCAGTGTTAAACCAAGCGACAAATGGCCACACAGAGCCAAACTATATATACACAACCCTGTGTGTAAACAAGCAGACAGAGAACGTAAAGACTCAGAATAGTGAGATTCTGCTCAAAAGGCGAAGTTTTCCATCCTTTGACCACTCAAAAGCCAATTTAGATCATGGAAATAGTAAGAATTATGTGTACAGTACCCTTACCAGAAGTAGAACTCGACCGCCAGAGCAGCACACTGAGGATGTGCTGAAGAGTTCGAAAAGCATGCACAATGTGACCCACAGAGCAGAAGAGGAGGACGAAGATGCCGTTAGGAGAGACCCCCCGAGTGGTTCTGCCACCAAGTCACTTTCCATTGCTGCTTTACTTGATGTGAATAAAGACGATCCCAACAAAGAACTTGTTTCAAAGAAGGAAGTTAAGGGTTCCCCGAGTTTTTTGAAAAAAGGATCTCAGAAGTTAAGGTCATTACTTAGTCTTACCCCAGAGAAGAAAGAAAACCTATCTAAAAACAAGGCCCCCGCATTTTACAGACTGTGCAGTAGCTCTGACACTTTAGTTTCTGAGGGTGAAGAGAATCAAAAACCGAAAAAGTCTGAACCCAAAATCGATTCATCTCCTAGAAGAAAGCGTTCTTCCTCGTCGAATTCTCAAGGCAGCATCCACAGGAGCAAGGAGGATGTAGCAGTTAGCGCATCTCTGGGGATCAATTCTCACTCAGATCAAAGTAGGAAAATGACACCTTCTCCAGGTCCAGTTGAAAGGAGGTATCTGGAGAGGGCAGGAGATGCCTCTGCACCAAGATTTAACACCGAGCAGATTCAGTATCGGGATTCGAGGGAGATGAACACAGTTGCTGCTCTAGGAAGAAGGCCAACCTCCTCTCCAGCGCCAAAGCCCAGGGAGCTTCTGAGATCGCAGTCAACCAACCAGCGTGTTTACAGTCGATTTGAGCCGTTTTGTAAGATCGAGAGCTCTATTCAGCCAACAAGCAACACTGCAAATACAAATGTCAACCGCACAGAAGTCAAATCCACAACTATGGGCAACAGCTACGGCAGGTCCAGCCCAATGCTGAATTATAATGCAGGAGTTTACCACTCATACCAACCCAATGAAAACAAGTTTCGAGGATTTATGCAAAAGTTTGGAAACTTTATACACAAAAACAAATGAGCTACTTTAACTTCAAATAGCAATCAAAATATAAAATGAATATGGTTGTAAATATTTGTCCACCGAACACTGTGCACAGATTCTGTAACACACAGCACTTTCTGTGGTAGAGCTGGGAAAATGATGAGTATGCAGCCACCGTGTACAGTAGTTATTGCTTTTGTGGTAAAATTAGTTGTGCTTGATTACCCTACAGAGGGCTATCCAGTAAACACATTAAAAGGCTATTTTAAATGGTAATGACTTTTTTTTTTTAAGATGGAATTGTTTTCTTCCAACTACAATTCTTGTGTTTACTTAAAAACTTTTAGAAACTGCCATGAAGAGATGTATATGGATGTTTAACTATTCATTACAAAGCCTACTTTTTTTTTGATTTCTTTGTTTTTGTTTTTGGGTTTTTTTCTTTTTTTTCTTTTTCTTTTTTTTTTTTTTTTTTTTTTTTTTTTTTTTTTTTTTTTTTGAGTCAGTCTCCTTGTAGCCCACAGTAGCCTGGAACTCCCTATGTTGGCCAGGCTGGCCTTGACCTCACAATCTACTTTTGGCAAAAGTTTATACTGCTTACTATGGAGGCTTCATAATACTGCTTTATGGTATTTTCATATCTTCAAAAATGTAAGAAAATAGAACAAAACCTTTTATTTTATTTTTATTATTTTGGTCTATTTGAGACAGGGTCTCCCTGTAGCCCTAGCTGTCCTGGGTAGACCAGGCTGGCCTTGAACTCACAGAGATCCGCCTGCCTCTGCCTCTGAAGTGCTGGGATTAAAAGTGTGTGCCATCATGCCTGGCTTTTTTTTGTGAGAAAATTCTACAGGATAACTTTTTATATCTTATCGTTTTATTATTTTTCCTATGCAGCATTACACAAAAAAGTATCTTTTGAATTGTACTGGTTGGTACGATTTTACTGAGCCTAAAGCAGTTTTACTGAGTATGAAGCATCAGTCTTACTTAGTAGATACACTCACAGGTCTTTGTTTTCCAGTCTTTAGGAACTATGCAGAATGGTGTTTTCCAGCCTTCCATATGCTGTCCATCCTTCCTAGTCAGCCCTTAATTAAAATTTATCAGAAGCCAACACAAATTGAAAACTTGAACTCCCTCCTTCTAACCTATAAAACCTTTTAGAAATGTAAACTTCTGCTTAAATTTTTGTTACAGTACCATAACAATACTGGGATGTCTTTTTTGCAAAATGACTTACTGTTTTAAACTTTGAGCTGAATAGGGAATGATAGCACACTGTTTCCCTAAGAGTTGGATGGTGAAGGTGAAAGGTAGGCCCAGCTTTTCCGTTATTGCATAGCCTGACAGAATTAAAATCCTCCCATAGCTTAGTTTGATGGTAGTATTCAGGTCATAAAGTACCTGTTGCCATTCTTTAACTAAAACTCCATTGTGGAGACTTGTATACAGATTTGTTTTATGGACAAAGAATTCAAGAAGCAGTGGATCATGTGAGAAGAATGGAATGCCTCTAAACACTTTGAATGTATTATTTGCAGTTTTCCAAATTATATATCAGAGCACTAAATTATGGTTTTTAAAATGCAGGACTCAGTCAAGCACTATAAATATCATTATAATAATGATATTAAAATATCCATGTCATTGAAATAATTTCCCTTAGTGTCTAAACACTGTGTAAAGAAACATGATAGAAGAGAGAGAATATGACAGTAGGAAAAGAAAGCCTAACATTAATCAAGCACTTCACTAAACCAAGTCATAACCTGGACATGTATGTTCACATGGCAACCCTTTATGATAACATTATCACTGTTATTTACAAATTGCTTATACCAGATGAAACACGAGACCCAGGGCAATGTTCCAAGTCACAAAATTAATAAGTAATGGCTCTAAGTTGTAACATTCTGCCACATGACGTGACAATTCTGTCCCAATTGGTTGAATGCCTGCCTGGCCCAATCTGATGGAATTGAAGAAACTATTTACTTCCTGACTAGCTATCGACCAGGAAAAGTTTGATTGAATTTCACCAGACAACAAGGACGTACCAGGATTAAACTGATTGTAGTAGGTAAGGTTAAAACAGTAGAAGAAGAGTCAGCTACTGTGTTTTACTTAGCAGGGCCAGGTTTAGTAGCTAGGCAGCCATTCTGATCCCTTGGTTGACCTGTGACAATGAGAGTAAGAGAAAGAGAAATAGAATGTCCTGTAACTTTGGCCTTTGGACCTGAAGAACTCCATTTGGTGGGCAAGGTGGGCAGGGACTATGAAGGTTGTCCATGTACAGAAAGTATAATCAAGCTTCAGAGAAGTTACATAACTTTTCAAGGGGTGCCTGGCACTGAACCTATGGAAGCTGGATTTCAGTACCCACCCAAGTTTAGTCCAGCACATCATTCCTGGCTAGCTTCTTCTCTGCTGTGTTTTGAGACCCTGCCTTAGAATTATTAATAATTGTCTTCTTCTTTTGCTCATACTCTCTTTTTAAAATTGTAGAAATATGCCAGTACCTACACAGAAATAATGTTTTTTATAAATAAAAGTCCAGAATATATGTTCAGTTTTACATCATTTACAACATTATTTTTAAAGCTATTATAATTAAAGGAATTCTCAAGTACTGTAATTTGCATCTTATTCTTTTGGAAGCATAATTATAATAAACTTGAAATGTTTCACACTAATAACAGCACAAAAACACAATTTTGAGAAAACTTATTTATCACAGGAAAGACAGCCAATTCATAAAAATTTAATTTAAAAAATAGCCTTTGAAATACATATTTCCTTATAAATCAAACCAGGGGTTAATTGAAAAAGTTTAATGCCTTCTAATAAATAATTTCAGAAATACTCTTTTAGATCCTTACTGATCTCTTAGGGGACGGGAAAGCTAGGCTTTTGCAGAGCAGCTCTATCAGGCTGGGCCTCTTTGATTTTTTTTCCAAGTCTTACCTTTCTCCCAAAAAATCTGCATGTCAAAATGTGTACATCATTACCAAAGTCTCTTCACTGAGAAACTCCCCTCAATTAAGACTGAGCAAACACAAAATGCTTCACACAGTGTCTCAGTTTTCACGAGATATTGCCCGTTTGGTGACTGAATAAAGCAATGCATTCTCTCTCTTTTTCTTACCATATTAATAATGGTGGAAAGACAATGTTTCTTAGATGTATTTTTGATACTAAAGTTTGGTGATACACTTTTTTCCTCTATAGGGCTTTAGATTCTAAGCAGAAATTCAAGAAACCAGATATGGCTTCTCAGTGGTCCTTGGCAGGTGGTATCAGAGGGCATGAGAGATACTGTAGCCTAACATACAGTCTCAGTGTAATGGCTGGGGTCAGCCAGGCTCTGGTCTGGTGTGGTGAGGTACATGTTATCCATCTTGTGGAAGGAAGTATCTTATTTTTTCCCATGTATTTAGTGTTATCTGCATGAAAACTGACAAGGGCTATATTCAGGGTGCATTCAATCGAACTTTACTTAAGGTCTACCTTTATTCTACTATTACTTTATAGATGTTTGTTTGGTGAATATCCGTTTACTCTTAATGTGCCTTTAGCTAAGGGGTATAAAGTAGAATCGTTGCTTAATATGAACTACACTTTTGATTAATACATGATGATTTTTTTAATTATGAAATTTCAGTTTGATTCTGAGATATTTAAAACAAAATGATGAAATTTTAAGTGAGTCAACTTTTTATGTTTTATATACATATAATGTTTCAAAGAAATATTCTTCCAAATTAACTTTTGTCTTAAGATGAATAAATGATTATTAAATAATTTTGAACAAATACTGTATTGTAGGGTTTTATCATTAGATTTCTTCATTTAAGTACACTCTTTCACTTAGTACTTATAATCAGGGATTTAGATTTTAATATCATTTAAAAATATTTCTCAGGGGCCAGGGAGCTGGCTCAGTGGATAAAAAGCTTGCTGCACAAATGTGAGGACCAGAGTTTATCTCTCTCTCTAGCACCCACACAGAGCAGGAAGGGTGTGGTGGCATGACTGTGATACCAACACTCAGGAGGTAGAGGGGGAAACCCAGCAAGCTCATCAGCTCAACTAGCCAACTGATGAGCTCTGGACTCAGCGAGACTAGCCAATTGATGAAGAACTCTGGGACCACTGAGATATTCGGCCTCAGTAAATAATGTGGAGAGTGATCCAGGAAAATGCCAGTGTCAAACTTTGGCCTCCACATGCACAGCACACATGCTCCCACACACATACATGTACACATGCCCACAAACAAGTGAAATTCATATAAACTATACATAACATGCAATCCAACATTTCACCATCAACTTTAAGCCTTCTAAAATACATTTGATAGACTCATATTTGATATAACAAAATTTCCATATACTATTTCCACATATAATATAATAGTATTCTTCACTTTGCATATTCATTTGGTCAACAGTGAACTGTGCACATGGCATTGAACATGGACCAAAAAAGTCCTATTGCCTAATATTTGTGATATGCGTTTGTTTAGATATAGTTCTATACAACAGAGCCACTGTGTTACAGTTGCCCACGGTCCTTGCCACAATAAGATGCTGTACAGATTTGTAGCCCAGGAGCTATGGGCTATGCCATGGTCTAAGTATGTGGTAGGCTACATCATCTAGTTTTATATAAGTTCACTACATAGTTCCCACAGCAGTGAAATACCTTAACAATGGCCTGTTCAGTGTATTTCTCATACTGAAGAGATACGTGATTCAGCCTCTTTATTTCCATTTCTACTCAAAGAAATACTTTAAATAATGTTTTTACTCTAAATTTATACAATTTAAAAAATAAAATTTGATGGTTAACTTTTATATAAGTTGGTCACAACTGGTTTTGAATAAAATATTCTATTATATGTATTATGTCATTAAGCGATCTATATTATGAAAGTTATTTTAAATTCAAAATCGCATAGGGAAAAAAGACATCACAGGTTATGGAATACTTGAAGTCTATATAGTCTAAGTTAAAAGCTATATCCTTTAAAGGCAAATATTATTTTCAGCTAGTAATGGATAATGATAAAGACAAATTCCTAACCAATGCTAAATCTCAACTCAGTAGGAGAGTGAACACATTTGCTTGGGATCCAACCTTGAGGTGATTTATGAATGGGTTGAATTGCTTTGAG